AGTTGTTGTCAACACTGGATCACGTGCCAGCGTTGACAACAAGTGGCTAGGGCCACCGTCGCACGCACGCAACGCGCCGGACGGACGGTCGCACGAACGGACGGGCGTCGGTTGAATCGTTGAGGTCTGAAAGCAACCTATCAGGCGGCCCACTACATCTACTGGAGACAGCGACGTAGTAGCGTACAAGTAAGTGCTGGGATTTTCATTGACGATGCCTACAGGTAAATAACAGAGCAATAGAAATGACCCAAAGTGTTATTATACAATATAGAGCTCTGTACATCGAAATGGAAAGATTTAATAAATTTCTCCTTGATGTTCTAAAAATCAAAAAAAGTCACTCGCAAGTGTCCTTTTAGCTTTCCACAAATTGCAAATCTGCTGAGTAGTGAAAGCGAGTACGACTACTCGCCGCGCAGTATAGCACGTGGGACAGATAACGCGGACAGCACTCATTATCGATGTACTGAGCTCTGCATTAGAACATGCATGTTTTCAAAATGTCACCGAATCACACAGTGTATAGATGTAGTATATATAACGGCGAATTTACTCATGACTAAAACGGTAATTAAAAAAGTAGAATGAAAAAACCATAGGACTTAGACTGCGTACAGACAGCGACAGACCAATAGCGAAAAAGCGTGGGCGGCTGAATCATCGAATCGTGGCAGCAGGTGCTTGGAGCGCATTATCATCAGCGGAGCACCTTAAGTGACAACTTTTCTAAACCAGCGACTAAAATCGTTCAACTCTTCAATAAATTTCTAGAAAATACGCCGAGGAAGAAAAAACGTGTAAAGCTCCAACATGGAGAAAATAATTGTGTCTTAATAGTAACCGATACCTGTCAAGTGATAGTCCCTGATGCATGGTTTTGAAGGAATTACTTAACATCGGCTGCTTATACCATCTTTGCAATTTCGAGCATGCTCTTTTTTAAATAGATTTGTTACAGTCATACCAAATTAAGACGATCAGAAACAAATAAGGCAAGCCTTCAACGAGAAACGAGTTGGTGGACATTGGCCGCTGTTTCATAATGCTACCGTGTTTTCATGCCGCACTACGGGCAGAATTTCTTGTTAGGACCACACGACCAAGAAATTATATGCAACCCTGGGCCTTAGGCACTAAGAGAACCCTTCCTCAATAAGAGGAACTAGATTGCACATTTGTTTCCTTTTTTCACAAACAGACAATTGGGAACTACTAATAGGAGGGAATAGGGCTGAGCTTCTTGTCCAGGAATTCATTTTGTAGGACAACAAAACACTAATCTTTTCAACTTTGTAAGGAAACCGAACTATGAATATACTTTGCCAACTCTTGGGTAACTTTTTTCTATATTTCACGGCATAATGTACGACAATTTCATCTGACCACATTGGTTTTCAATGAAATTTACATACTATTTCCGCAAAACGCTTTGTGGATGGCCTAGAAATTCTCGGAAAAGGAGGAAATCGTCCAGAACATCACAAAACTTCTCTACCACACACTTTAGACTCCTCATGTTATTCGAAAACTGACAGATAAATCTAAAACAGCTTGCAGCTGCACCTGCTGTGCACCTGAGATACTAACTACCACCAGTTATTCCGAATATCTTTCTAACTACACTCATAATTTTCATTTCAAATATTTTAAATGATGCTCATAAGCTTGTTCAACCACATCTCTATGCTCTCACCATAAAATGCCGTCGTCAGAGAGAACAGGCAAGGGTAATCTGCGAGAGGGTGGATGGCGTGAAGGAAGGAGAGGCAGATCAAACTGGACACCCCAAAAGCCGCTGCTCTACTCGACAAAACGACCAGGAGTGAGAATTTCTAGTAGTTCGGTCTACACTTTCTTTATATGCGCTCCATCATGCCCACTGCTACCATGAAAGTCGACAATGTATTCCGCTGGTTCGTTTTTTCTACAAAGTTTTGACATCCTCATTCAGCAACCACAAAGTCGTTTTCCCCTTTCGAAATTAGTCAATATGCTTTTTACCCTATCGTCGTGAATCCCCATGCAACCGGAAATTGATAACGGCCGTGCTTCATTGGCGCAGTTACTGAGAAATGCCGAAGTCAGAAGTTCGATACTCCCATGGGGCAAAACTTTTGCGATTCACTAATAAAATCCGTAATTCCTAGCAAAATAGTGATTGCTCACGAATTCTGCCATACGTTATTTTCTATTCTAAGTGAAAGAACAGTATGCAAAAGTCACGCTCACGGGTGGGCTCGAACCACCAACCTTTCGGTTAACAGCCGAACGCGCTGCCTATTGCGCCACGGAAGCAGCGGNAGTAGCGATTTCATGAACGGTCAAGCCCATCCAACCAGAAAGTATAGTATAAGTCGATCTTCTTAATGTGAAACAGAGGGGGCCCAGTTGATTTAGGCAGAACGGCATTCTAGAAAGCCACAGGTTTGACTCATTGTCAGATGGAAACTCGAAAAACGTTGTGTCGCTTGCTGTCCTCTTAACAGGGAGTGGCATTTAGGCTTAGTTCCTGTAAACTGAAATGCATGGTCCTAGCAACGTTAGGCCGAACGTCTTCACGCAGAAAATGTACAAAAAATCCCGGTTGTGTGATTAGACAAAAATCAGAAATAAGGTTATCAGCTGCTTATGAGTGGTGTGGACGAGTTGGCCTCCGAAAAAGCATGTGCTCCGCCACCAAAGTTGCGCCATGAACAGGTAAACACAGCTGTTTTCCTTCAGACACTCATTTGCTATTAGTTTTACTGTGAGTACCTTCTAACACTTACGTAATCCGACCATCAGTAAGTAATTATAAACGAAACAGAGTTCAACAACTTTATTCAGAACGAAATAATAGCATAACAACAGGGCGACACCACAACATCCTTCTCACGTCGGAAACTGAGCAGTTCTATTCTAGGCAGCATCTGCCCCTGAGTACTTGTAATGCAGTTTTTTACCCACCTTACAGGCTAAATATACTGACCATAAACGAAGTGTAGTCGTTAAAAAGCATCTTTATGGTTCTGCAGATGGAACTCGTCGCGAATAGAAGTTGTGAATGAAATGTGAAGCCAGACTGACATTATCTGGGTGTGACTTTGCTTGGGCAAGCGAGTGCGTTCATGTGCCTTTTAAGCAGACTGCGGTTACAGAAGTACTGTCAAGTGAAATCTATAGCATGATGTGAGAGAGGCGTGGATACTTCTCCCCGGAAGTCGCGTCGCGCTCGCCGCATACAAGCGCCTCGTCGCGTGCTATGAAGGGTAGGGCTTGAAATCTCAGTGAAAGGCACGGTAATTGCCGCGAAACACTGCAGCTTGGCGCAGGATTTCGGGGAGAACCAACACCACCCATCCGAGTGAAATAACTCGGGCTACATAAGAGTGCAATCGCGCCCACTGGCATCTGGGATGAAGGGAGAGGTAATAGCTGAGGCTGTGTTGAATTTACTCCCCCACGAGCGCTGATTCTGGGTGCTCCTTACAATCCCTTTAGCAAATCCAGCATTCTTTCAGCAATGCATAGGCTATTAGTTCCTTCATGAGACGGTTTTCTGTTGTTTTCCGTCTCAAGCAGATGTTCCTTTTTTAATAATGTGTTCCTTAAATTCATGTTCACAAAGGGGAAGAGAACAAGAGACAGTAACATTAAGCGAGGAAAAAAGTACAGCGGTTAGGCGTTGGCTGCAAAATTATTCATGAGCGGTTCTGGCGAAATCTCATAGCTGGTTTGGTGTTCGAGCCGGGTACAAATCATTTGACGTGGTGACCGACATAGCGCATAGGCCCAGACCTGTAATCTTCTTCACGGCTTCACAGATTTGAAGGACAAAATAATCACGCATGTTCTTCAGGCGAGGATATCCTCGCCTTTTGATTG